TACAGGTCGTCAAATCCCCTAGCAAGTATGCTGAGGCAAGGGCAGGGCAGGGCAGCGTGAGGTGTCAACTCTACTTAGGTGTAGAGGTGACCCCAGACTCCCGTCATCCTCAAGTTGCCACTGTGAGTGGCTCTCAGGTTCCCACAGTGTTCTGAAGATGTGGTGGGCACCACAAAAAAGATGCCTTTCCAAGTTTTAAATCCAATGTGCTTCCACCATTAGGTCACTGAAGAACCAACTCTTTTGGTCATTTGAAGGCCTACAATGCAGATCCCAGATACCAACACAGTGACCGTTAGGGATAGACATGTGCTGAGAAGGTGGTCTTCCACCTCCACAGAGTTCCTGTGAGTTGAAGAATCTCCAAAACTGACCCACATGCACACGTACCCTACAGGGCCGATGTGGTCCACACTGCTGGCCGCACACCTGCTTACAAACACCAAATGGGACCCCGTCAGTCTGAGAAGGTAGTGAGATGAGACCACTCTGACATTGTCTTCCCTCTCCCCAGGCCAACTGCCGGAAGCTTCCTAAGGGACAGGATGGGGGAAGCGTCTCTGAGCAGCCAGTTCACAACTGTATTATAACTCTCTAGAGGTGGCAGGACAGAGATGTCTGCCTGTTCTAGAGTCCACTTAGCAGGGCACGGGAAGCAGGCTGGCCATGCCTTGGCTACCAACTGGACCGAACCGCAACCAGGCACCCGGACAGCCTGCTCTGACCAACAGGCAACAATTAGCAAAGAACTCACACTTCACTCCCAAGTTCTGTCACGGTTAACCTCGCACAACTATGGGGAAGTGAAAGCATTATGGAGGGTCAAAGCCAGGTCTGGGGGCCTGGGGGTGACTCAGTAGGCAAAGTGCTTGCTGCTCAGGTAGGGTGCCAACTCATTGGCATCCCTCAGCACCCACATAAAAGCCAGGCTTTGTGGCACGTGTGTGTATCAGTTCAGGGGAGGGAATGTCACAGAGGGGTGGATAGCCTCAACTTCCAGGCTCCGTGAATACTCTGTCTCAAAATTAATTAATTAATTAATTAATTAATTAATTAATTAATTAATAAAGGTAGAGTGACAGAGGACCACTAATGTCTACCCCTGGCCTTCACATGCACACACATGCACCCACCTGCAGATACACACAAACCAAACCAAACCAGGTAGAGGCCAGCTGGTTCTGGAAAGTCACTTAAAACTCAAGTTTGTAGGGCCCGGGGGTACAAGATCATAAACTCAGCTACTTGGGAGGCTGAGGCAGGAGGATGGAAAGTTCAAGATAAGCCTGGACAATGTGAGGCTGTCTCAAAGAGGGCTAGGGTGGCAGTTCAGCCCTTGCCCAGCTGCAGCTAGGTCCAATCTCCAGAACTGCAAACCACTCAAGTCCAAGTGCCCGCTCCCCACGGACACAAGGCAATGTGCTCAGACAGCAGGCCTTTTTACGACCACACGTGCCTATGAAAGGCCTTCCCAACCCCACCTATCGGACATGAACAGACACCTGGCAGCCCTTCAGTGGAAGGCAGACATGCATTTTTGTTTATCCAAGTTTGTACTGTTAAGTACAGGGAATGTCATCTGCATCCTTGATTCATTGGCTCCATTCACTGCACGTCCGTACATTCACTGGCTCCAGCAGCCCAGATAGATTGCCGCAGACTTCACAGTTCCTTTGTTGGAACTACAAAGTCAATGGCATGAATTCGGATGCCGGGTCTTGAAGAAGTGACCCAGCCTGAACGAAATCACACAGGTGGGGCCCCAGTGAAATCAGCACCTTCGTAAGAAGAACAAACAAGGCTCCAGCTCCCTTCATGCAAGCCAGGAAGAGCTCATACCACAAAGTAAGATGTTGCCGTTCTGGTCTCCCAGCCTCCAGATCTGAGGACAATGGTTTCTCTTTAAGCCACTCTGTGGTGTTTTGTCACAGCCTCCAGCACAGACTAACAGTCAACAATGGTCAGTATGTACACACTAACTTAAGGAAATACTGAAACTTAAACACTCACTCAGCTAACAACTTCCAGTTCTGCCATACAACCTAACACCCAAGCTCTGTTCACATTGCCATGATTGAAAAAATTACTTTTTACAGGGCTGGGGATGTAGCTGAGTTGGCCTAAGTCCTGGGTTTGATTCCCAGCACTGCATCAAACCAGCTGTATGGTGGTGTACAACTATAATCTTAGCATTCTAGGATGTAGAAGCAGGAGGATCACAAAGTCCTGATTTCCTTCAGCTTTATGAGTTCAAGGGCAGGCTTGGCTTCACTGGAACAGCTGGGGCGGTGGTGGCGCACGCCTTTAATCCCAGCACTCGGGAGGCAGAGCCAGGCAGATCTCTGAGTTCGAGGCCAGCCTGGGCTACAGAGTGAGTTCCAGGAAAGGCGCAAAGCTACACAGAGAAACCCTGTCTTGGGGAAAAAAAAACAAAAAACAAAAAACTGGAACAACAATGGCTCAGGGGTTAAGAGCACTTACAGGTCTTGCAGAGGACCTGGGTTGTTCCCGGCACTCTTATGGTGCTCACGATCATCTATAAATCTAGTTCCAGGGTATTTGAGTCTCTTCTAGACACCCGTGGGTACCAGGCACACACATGCTGCATACATACATGTAGGTAACATACTCATTCACATAAAATTTTTTTAAAAAAATCTTAAAATTTAAAAGCTGGACATGGTGGCTGGCACATGCCTTTAAATGCAGCACTTGGGAGACAGAGGCATGTGGATCTCTGAGTTTGAAGCCAGTCTGGTCTACAAAGCAAGTCAGTCAAGATTATCTCAACCCTCCCACAAAAAAACCAAAACCAAAACCACAACTTAAGAGTAGCTTATTAAGATCGAGGCCATCTCTCAGCTCCACCTGATTTCCTGGGTTATCAGGTATCATATCTTATGGGGTGTAGCTCAGCACTTTCCCAGCAGAATTTGACCTTTTGCTTCCCATTTCCTTTTCAACTCCTTCCCAATTCCATGTGCATTTTTAAACTGGAACTTCGAGACAGGGTTTCTGTGTAGCCCTAGCTGTCCTGTACTTCAATCTGTAGACCAGGCTGGCCTTGAACTCAGAGATCCTCCTGCCTCTGCCTCCTGAGTGCTGGGATTAAAGGAGTGTGCCACCACTATCCCACAACTAACTGGAACTTTTAAAAATTAGGTGGATAGGCCTGCATGCATACCTATATACCACATGCGTGCCTGGTGCCCACAGAGGCCAGAAGAGGGTTATTGTGGAATAATCTTTGTACACTGTGAAGATGTGTCTTTGCCAAGGCACCTTCTGATTCATTTAATAAGAGTTGACTGGCTGGTAGCTAGGCAGGAAGGGGTCAGGTGGGACTTCTGCAGAGAGAGGAAGAAACACTAGATGCCACAGGACGTGGAGAGGAAACAGGAGGTGCAAGATGAAAAAGAGGTAAAAAGCCATGAAGCAAAAATGAAGATTAATATAAAATGGATTAATGTAAGTTATGAGCTAGTGGGATGAGCCTAAGCTATAGGCCGAACTTTCATAATTAGTAAGTCTGTGTTGTTTTTTGTGAGCTGGCGGCCCAAAGAAAAATCTGTTACAAAGGATGTTGTATCCCCTGGAACTGGAGTTAGACTTGTAAATTGTCATGTGGGTTCTGTTATTTGAACCTGGATTCACTGGAAGAGCAGTCAGTGCATTTAATTGCTAAGCCATCTCTCCAGCCTCCTGGAATTCTTTCAAAGTATAATCTGTTATCAGACCTAGAGATAAAGCTAGAAAACCTGATTTACAGTGGATACAAGTGCTTGGTCTCTTGAACAGCTTGCTGAATGCAGAGCCATGCCGTGAGCTCCACCTGGGAGACTGAGGAACCTGCCTGTCTCTATTTTGAAGGCAGGAGCCATTATTTCTTGTTTTGTTTTGTTTTTTTTTTTTTGAGACAGGGTTTTTCTGTGTAGCTTTGGAGCCTATCCTGGATCTCGCTCTGTAGACCAGGTTGGCCTCGAATTCACAGAGATCCACCTGGCTCTGCCTCCCAAGTGCTGTGATTAAAGGTGTGCGCCACAACCGCCTGGCCTTTATGCTGTATTTTTTTTTTTTTAAATAAGTTTCTATTTACTGTGAGAATTGAGTGGCTCTTTCCTGGAACCTGACCTTCTCCAACCCAAGACCTTGATTTGTTTTACTCCTTATAAGGGGCCCAAAAGATGGATTCAGGGCTGCTCTCTTTAACTAGACTTAGGAGGCAGTCACTGACCAACTCTTGGATGTACCCCAACAACAACAACAAAATCGAAGGCCGAGCGGTGGTGGCGCATGCCTTTAATCCCAGCACTTGGGAGGCAGAGCCAGGCGGATCTGTGAGTTCGAGGTCAGCCTGGGCTACAGAGTGAGATCCAGGAAAGATGCAAAGCTACACAGAGATACCTTCTCGAGAAAAAAAAAAAAAGAAATCGAGCTTGCTTCAAATTTGGCTCAAATTGTGGTAGTGTTCCTAATCTCATCGTTGGGATTAACAAGACATTTCTGGCTGAAAGTCGACATGCTGCTTTAGAACTGAAGATGTCCCGTGATGCACAGGGCCACCTCACACTGCTGTAAGGCTCACACTGCTGTAAGGCCTGGCTTATTTCGAGGGACATGAGCAGCTCCCAAGGCACCAGGGCCAGAGCTGAGCAGAGGAGCTTCTAGGGCAGTGGCAGGCAAAGGCCACCGCTTCTGCATCCTGAGTGGGCGGACCTGACCCAGCCAGCTCCTGAGCACCACCTGACAGCCAGCAGCAGAGGAGCCTCAGAAGCACAGCCTGGGATAGTGAAGTGGAAGAGGTTCATTCCTGAGGCGCCCAGCTTGGTGGCCATCTCTACAGCTCATGAGCCTGTGCAGAGAAACAGGACCAGTGAGAAGCATCCAGCTCTCAACCACATGCCCAGCAGAGGCTCCACTGCCCCTTCCTAGGACAGCTCTATGCAGGAAGAGTCCGGCCTGAAGCCAAGGCTCATCTAAGATCCCACACCACTGTGATATAACCTTCTGGTTACGCTTTAATGAGACCAAATAAATAGAGCCAAAGATCCGGTATCTCTTGCTGGATCACCTGCTAGAGAATCAGTGCTGAGGGCATTTCAACAATCTCCCTCTACCCAGGCGGTCCCCGACAGTCTGTGGCTGCTTCTCCACATACCCCCACGCTGCGCTGAATACCCAGTGTGAATCCAGGCCTCCCTGCAGCCCTTTAACAAGGGTGTTTGTTTCTATGGTCACCTGTGGAGGTTGAAGAAGTTTTTTTTTTTTTTTCCTCCCCATTTATTTATGTATTTCTTGTGCGTCTGTATGCACACATGTGCTGCGGGAAGTCAGAGAACTTAGGGCATCGGGTTCTCTCCTCCGACCGGGTGGGTCTCTGGGCACCAAACTCCGGTTCTCGGGCTTTGCCACACGCATGTGCCTTCACCCACCGGGCCGCCTTGTCAGCTCCAACCTCCCTCCCACCAACAGGAGACGTGATGAAAGAGCTGGGGGGGGGGTTAAAGGGCACCCAAGTGACACTCGGGACAGGGGCAAACTCCTCAGCTGAGGCAGCCAGCGCTGTGGCCGGCTCGGCCTGCACACGTGATGCCCGCCCCCCCTGTGCCCATTTCCTGGCAGGACTTCCTCAGGGAGGGACTCGGGGACCACCGGGCTTCGAGGCTTGCCGCGGCTGGCCCGGAGCCCCAGAACCGGGGAAGGACCAGCAGCTGCCTGCGGGTCCCCTCACACCTCCCCGCGCCCGTGAGTTCTCTGGTGGCGCGTGAAGAAGCCCAGGTGGCGGAAGCCCTTGCCACAGTGCTGGCACTCGTAGGACCTCTTGGTCAGGTGCAGCCGCTGGTGGATGCTGAAGCCCTTGGGCCACCGGAAGGCCTTGCCACACTCGCCGCACGTGTAGGGCTTCTCCCCGCTGTGGATCCGCTGGTGGTGGCCCAGGTTCTCCTTCGTGCGGAAGGCCTTGCCGCAGCTGCCACAGAAGAAGGGCCTCTCCCCGGTGTGCACGAGTCTGTGGCGCAGCAGGTTGGACTTCTGCTTGAAGGCCTTGCCGCAGTCCCCGCAGGCGTAGGGCCGGTGCTCCGTGTGGACCTTGCGGTGCTGGGCCAGGCGGTCCTTCAGGCTGAAGGCCTGGCCGCACAGCTCGCAGCAGAAGGGCTTCTCGCTGGTGTGATTCCTCTGGTGGCGCAGGAGGTTGGACACCCAGCGGAAGGTCTGGCCACACTCACAGCACTCAAAGGACCGGGTCCCGGTGTGCACCGTCTGGTGAGCAGCCAGGCGGCTGTGGCAGCTCAGCGCCTTCCCACACGTGCCGCAGATGAAGGGATGTCCCTCCGCGGCAGCCCTGCACGGCTCCTCCTCCTGCAGGCCCGGCTGCTTCCTGCAGGATTTCCCACACGGCCGGTTCGGGAAAGCTTCCTGGTGGTCCGCTTTCTCGCCAGAGGTGGCTCTGGGGAGGCGCACCTTACCCAGGGTCAGGACACTCTTCTTCAAGGTAGCCCCCCTCTTGGCTCCTGTCCGTGGATGGGTCCTCTCATGAGCTGAAGCCAGAATGCGGGCTCTCTTACGATCTGTGGACTGTCTGCCTCCTGGGGAGGAACAGACACGTTTACACGGAACTGGCCCAGGGACAAGCCAACTTACAAAGCAGCTATCCAACAAAGGACGAGAAAAAGCTAACAAGTGCCAAGTCAACGCAATCTACTTAGGGACTCAAAGAAAAATGGCATGAATTATGAAGAAAATGTGTTCAGTGTACACAGGTGAGCTAAAACTAACGAGACTTACAGGGCCAGGTACTCGGACCTGTAAAAAAGAAACCATAAGTGGGTTTAAACGGCCCCAAACCCACTAATTGTCCATCAAGCTTGTGTTGGTTCAAGTAACAGGCCTTATTCCTACCATGGAGGTGGGCCTGGGGCAGGCACTGAGAGCTGGCTGTCTGCAAATTAGAACCACCCACCCTCAGAGCCATAAGCTTCCTGCAAACAGAGGCCTGATACACTCCCAGCTGGGGGCTCCCCATAATCTGGGGCCCTCCCAGCCTGTCTCAGGCACATAAAGTGCCTGGTCTTCTTTCTGGGAGGATGTGCAGTAAAAAAAAAAACAAAACTCAGGGCAGAGGTGTATCTCAAGAGTTGTTTATCTGGGCTGGAGAGATGGCTCAGTGGTTCAGAGCACCGGCTGCTCTTCCAGAGGTCCTGGGTTCAATTCCCAGCAACCGCATGGTGGCTCACAACCATCTGTAATGAGATCTGGTGTCCCCTTCTGGCCTGCAGGGACACATGCAGGCAGAATACTGTACATATAATAAATCTAAAAAAATAATAATAATTGTTTATCGAAGGCCTCAAGTTCTATGCCTAGTATGGCAAAAAGAAAACAAAAGCTCCATGACCACCATCTGGAGCACCTTACTTAAGGAAAAAGCCAGGGTTTTCCCCCCAGTTTACAAATGAGCAAACACATGTGAAATAGAGAGAGAACCTGCCCCAGTATCACAAACCTGGAACATGTCAGATCCAGACAGACACTCTCTCTCTCTCTCTCTCACTCTCTCTCTCTCTCTCTCTCTCTCTCTCTCTCTCTCTCTCTCTCTCTCTCTCTCTCTGCTCTACCAAACAAATCTCTCACAGTCAAATCTCAGCCGCCCCTAGACTCACCACAGACAGTGCTAGGACACTGCCTCCCTTTCTCAAACACCTCCCTCCCACAACAACCTCACCACAAGGGTCCATTGAGACGTGTACACGTCCCTCCCACCAGAGCTAAGTGGCAGAAATACGCCACTCATCCACCTCCAAAAACCCTAATTAAGAAGGCACTCGGCAGGCTGGAGAGATGGCTCAGAGGGTTGGGAACACTGGCTGTTCTTCCAGAGGTCCTGAGTTCAATTCCCAGCAACTACATGGCCGCACACAGCCATCTGTAATGGGGACCTGATGCACTCTTCTGGCTTGCAGGTAGACAGAACACTGTATACATAATAAGTAATTTTTTTTTTGTTTTGTTTTTGTTTTTTGTTTTTCGAGACAGGGTTTCTCTGTGTAGCTTTGGAGCCTGTCCTGGAACTCACTCTGTAGCCCAGACTGGCCTCGAACTCACAGAGATCCGCCTGCCTCTGCCTCCCGAGTGCTGGATTAAAGGCGTGTGCCACCACCCCTGGCGTAATTTTTTTTTTAAGGGCACTCTGCATCCACTCTCCCACTGTGTCTGTCTGAGGGGTGGGAAAAGTGGCCTTAATCAGTGCCAGGAAATGTGGGAGGGGTCAACCAAGAGAAATCCATCCTACTTACCTGGGCAGACACCTTTTTGTGCTTCTAGAAACTCAGGTCTGTCCCAGTCTTCAACCCATGGTTCATCCCACTGATCCAGGTGAGAAATAAGGTCTGGTCTAGGGCCACAGTATCCTTTTCAAAAGTGAGAAATGGTATCTGATTTGTGTAAAAGACAACATAAGTCCAGGACTCAGACCAGCTCTGGGCAGCACAAGATGACCCCAGCAGCCCAGTCAGCCCCTGTAGATCCCCTGGATCCCCTGGAGAAGCTGCCTGGAAGCAGGAATGAGGAAGCCAGAGGCTCACAGGAGGGAAACAGGAGTATGCCTGCCCGCGCCTGAGCACAAATATGCTGACACAAAATGTAGGGACCTAGGCTACCTCCAGAGGAGCCAAAAGAGATGCCCTTGATCAGACACAGCACAGGGGTCTTAGCCAGGACCTACCAGGCTCCAGAAACCGACATGCAGCAGCCCTTACCCAGCTCGATGAAGTTCCTGAAGTTTTCAAGCATCACATCCCGGTAGAGGGTCCTCTGGCTAGGGCTGAGACAGTCCCACTCTTCCCTGCAGAAGTACACGGCCACATCTCTGAAGGTCACTGGCACCTGACACACGGATGGCTCCAGGACTGCCTGCTACTGAGTGAGAGTGAGTCAGAGAGAGCATGCTAGAAACCCATGCGCTGTACAGGAAGAAGGGGTAGGGCAGGCAGCGATCTCTGTGGTGGTTAATATTCACCAGGAATCACCTAGGAGACACACCCCTGTGGATGTGTTTGTGAGGATGTTTCCATAGAAATCTAACCAACCCTGAAGGTAGGCACTATCATTCCATGGGTGTGGTTCCAGCCTCCAGAAAAGGGAAAGGGCAGCCAGCTGAGCACCAGCATTATCCTAGCCAAGGATGCCACCTGTCCGGCTGCAGCTCACACTCCTGCCTCCACGATGGGCCTATGTGACATAGGCAGCTGTCACAGCAACAGGAAAAGTCACTGATACAGAAAACATCCTCTCGGTGCAGGGCATATGATTCTCCAATTTGTCCTGTGCCATTTTAAAATGAAACAGAGTCATAGTGGTGCACACCTTTGATCCCAGCACTCAGGAGGCAGAGGCAAGTGGATCTCTGAGTTTGAGGCCAGAGAGTTCCAGGACAGCCAGAGCCATGAACCATCATTAGCCACTGTTGTGGTTTGGCTGTAGGCAAGCATGACCTTCTCCTCACTCATCCCATTGCTATCAAGAGATAATCTTGATTCTGTAGTCAGGACAACAAGATAAGCAAACAGCACAGTAATAACTAGGTGGACTGCAATGCTAATGAGGGTGTTAACAGTCTACAGGATGGGAGGGCCACAACATTCACTAGAATTTGACCCACAATCCCAAGCTTCCTGTGCTCAGCCCCCTTTCCTTTTCATTTGATCCAGGGTCCAGTTCGTGAAATGGTGCTACCCACATTCGGGGTAGATATTTCCACTTCAGCCAACCAATTAAGAAGTCCCACTGCCATGGTGGCGCATGCCTTTAATCTCAGCACTTGGGAGGCAGAGGCAGGCAGATCTCTGAGTTTGAGACCAGCCTGGTTTACCCAGCAAGTTCCAGGACTGCCAGGGCTATGCAGAGAAACCCTGTCTCCAAAAACCAAGGGGGAAAAAAAAAAAAGGAAGGAAGGAAGAGAGAAAGAAAAGAAAAAAAGAAAATCCCCCTTGGGTGAGCCAACTATAGAGACCCAATCTCAAAAACAAAGAGTTCAAGGCCAGGTGTCCTAGTGTCAATTCTGCTCCTGAGATAGAATTCCGACAAAAACCAGAAAAGAAAGGCTTATCTAACTTACAATTCCTGGGAGGCAGAGCCAGGCGGATCTCTGTGAGTTCGAGGTCATCCTGGGCTACCAAGTGAGTTCCAGGAAAGGCACAAAGCTACACAAAGAAGCCCTGTCTCAAAAAACCAATAAATAAATAAATATAAATAAATAAAATGTTTAGAACTCAAACTTGCTTTCTCTAATCTTCCATAGTCCAGGGGCCCCAAACCTGTGTTTGCCCATCAATTAAGCCAATCAAGGCAACGCCCCACGGACATGCCTAAAGGCCAACCTCAATTTAACATCCCTTACCGAGGCATTCTTCCAAAAGGACTCTAGATTGTGTCAAGTTGAGAAATTAATCATTACACTTACTTTGCCTACGCCGCTACCTCAAAGACCGATTGGGATACTTTAAAAAAAGCAAGCCAAATAAAACAAAGCAACAAAATTTAATGGAACCAATAAAACTTAGATTTTCTGGTTCTAAAAAGGAGTTAGGAAGATAAAATGGCAAGCTAGAGGAAATGTTCCCAATTCACCATCCTGCCAAAGAACTAGTGGTATCCATTATAACTTTTACAAACTAACGGTAAAAAGAGAAAGCCATTCTATAAGGGTAAAAATAAGCTGTACTAATGCTAGCACTCGGGAGACAGAGGCAAGGGGATCAGGCACAATTGGAGCCCAGCCCGACTACAAAAGCGAGACCCTGTCTATAACAGGGAAATTATTTTTTAACACTTAGCACAAAAGTTGCGCCTTCGGCATTCAACCCTGTGACATTGAGCCTGGACTAGTTTATCTACAAACGCTCTGGTCTGCATTCTTATCTATAAACGACCTGCAAGGCCGAAAATTAGGACACACCGAAGCTCCGGAAACTCGGGTCCGGGTAGTGACTGCCAACCACAAACAAGCTGATCAAATGAGAACATTGCTTCTCATCTGAACTCCTGAACTGGTGCAAGTGCAGGAAATCCACCCGAAAACAAGACTGCAACCCTGGAGGGCAGGAGCCGACACAGCCCCGGACTGAGATCCGAGGGCTGCCCGAGCGCAGTACCAGCGAGAGGAAGGAAACCCGAGCGCGAGAGCCCTGGGATTGTGGGGAGAGGGTCCGTACTCACCGGAGGGTCCTCACGGTGAGCCCGCCCGGGAGGAGCGCTGCCCCGTCGGAAGCAGCGCTTGCGTCCAGCCTCCCGGGGAGCAGCGGCAGCGAGATGTGGGCGCATCTGAAGGCCGCAGGGGCTGCGGCGGGTCCAGTCGGCTTCGGCGCAAGCGCGGTGGCGCGGAGCAGGGCGACCCAGAGCTGCACGCCAGGCCGGCACCGGACGATCGCCCAGCTCCTGCAGCTTCAGTCCTCAGTTCGGCTGCGCGCCGCCCTGACTTCAACTCTGTAGCGGAAATACGCCAGCGACCGAAACCGCTTCCGGCAAATCTAGGAGCCGCGACTCAATGATGCGCGCCAGACAAGCCCCAGACAAGCCCGCGGGAAAGCGGAAGTGTGCGCCGAGCAGCCCCCAGGAGCTCTGACCTTCGGTTGCTGCGGGTAGTCGTGCTTGCTGTGCACCTGACTCGTGTGCACCTGTCTCCTTCACCTGCTTGTCCTGGTCCTGCAGATCCCTCCACCGTGGAGGCTGGGCTGGGCTGTGGCGTTCCTGAGCCCTCTAAGAGTTTGTGGTTTTTTGAGACAAGGTTTCACTGGCTGTCCTGGAATTTGCTGTAGACCAGGCTGGCCTCAAACTCAGAGATCCGCCTGTTTCTGCTTCCCAAGGGCTGGGATTAAAGGCATGTGCCAACGCACCTGACTTCTCTCTTTTTAAGTATGATAAAGTACAAGTAATAACACAACTTTCATTTTAACCTGTTGAGTGTACCAGTAGTGTATGGGACTTGCAGTTTTGCGTTTTGAAACTTGAAAGTGTGTTATCATGCAAATCAGAAATGTCCCTGCCCAGGGAACTTTTCTCCAGTTCCTCTCCAGCAGCCGGGGCCACCAACATTCCTTGATTGGAATTTGTCCTAGGACCTTCTCAACCCGATGTTTGCCAGGTTCATTTATGTGGTGGCATGGGTCAGGATTTCCCACCTCATTCTGTTCACTCATTGGTCAGTGGACATTTGGGCCACTGTGATGCTAAATGTAATCCTAAAGATCCAAACTTACTTGTAATTCTAGTTTAGGCAACACTTGATTCCATAAAATAAGAGTCCCACGATGTTGGGCGGTGGTGGTGCACGCCTTTAATCCCAGCACTCGGGAGGCAGAGCCAGGTGGATCTCTGTGAGTTCAAGGCCAGCCTAGGCTACCAAGTGAGTTCCAGGAAAGGGGCAAAGCTACATAGAGAAACCCTGTCTCGAAAAACCAAAAAAAAAAAAAAAGATAGTCCCACAAACTGAGCAGTTTTCTGTTTTATAGAGAGGGGAGTTAGGTCTAAGAGAAAGAAAGAAAAAGATTGGTCTTGTCAAAGTTAGTTTCTTCCTAAGGCAGAGACAGACAACAGAAAAAACAAAACAAAACAAAACAAAACAACCAACCAACCCCGCAGGGACACTGGGTTAGTCCAGGCTGCTTTTCTGTAAGGATTAAACCAGAGCAAACTCGACTGTCTCGCTCACTGAAACCCACCCTCTCTCTCCTGATTTCCCAAAAGGCCAAATAACAACCCAGCTTCCCTTGATGCATGACACTTGAGTATGGTTGACTCCTTTGCTGAGTCTGGTCAGCTAAGGGCCCAGTGTAGCTCAGATTCTAATTGGTCTTAATAATAAAAACCCAAGCCGGGCGGTGGTGGCGCACGCCTTTAATCCCAGCACTCGGGAGGCAGAGCCAGGCGGATCTCTGCGAGTTCGAGGCCAGCCTGGGCTACCAAGTGAGTTCCAGGAAAGGCGCAAAGCTACGCAGAGAAACCCTGTCTCGAAAAAACCAAAAAAAAAAAATAATAATAATAATAAAAACCCAGAGCCATATATCAGGGGTAAATGCTGAAAGATCAGAAAGACAAAAGAGCAAGCCATAGCCACCTCTTACCTCGCCAACTCCTCAGCCAAAAAGGGGGCTGACTTCCTGTCTCCACCCTGCCACATCAAGTCCTGTTTCCTCCTCCCTAGTGCCGGGATTAAAGGTGTGAGCCTCCCAAGTACTGAGATCAAAGGCATGAGATCCCAAGTGCCGGGATTGAAGGTGTGTGCCACCGTGGCCTGGCCTCTATGGTTAACTAGTGGCTGGCTCCACACTCTGGTCTCCAGGTAAGCTTTATTTGTTAAGAGCGCAAACAAAATATCACCGTAGCCCAGTGCAGGAGTCTACTGCCAAGCAATGGCTTCCAGTGGATTTTGTTGAACAAGGGTGCCATGAACATAGGCGTGCATTATCTGTTTGTCTTCACTTCTTTGCGCTATGTATTCAGGAAATAGAATTTCTGGGATTTTCCAGATTATGTTAATTCTGTTTGACTTGTCGAGGAATCAACACACTGTCTTTACATCCCATGCACCTGTGCTCTGAGCAGCAGACCCAAGGGGCTCAAACCTTTCATCCTCACCAACCATGCTCATTTTCTATTTGGAGTTGTTTCTGGGCTTTTTGTTTTGCTTAAATTGTAACCATCATAATTGATTTACAGTGGTGTGTTGTTAGAAACCATCATCTTGGTGTTGCACAAAGTAGCATAGAACAAAGCCAAAGTAGTTTGGCAAGGCAATTGCTTGCTATAAGCCGCAAAAATATACAAAGTAGGATTCCAGCTGATTATGGCAAAGCTAATACCTGGAAGAGGCTAAGGGCCTTTCAGAGGTCAAGCTGAGGCTCAAGGAGCCTTGGTGATATTTGGCTTTTGATTATCAACCGTTTCCTGCTATGAGTTTCTCGTGTGCTGTTGTAGCTTTCCCATCATTTATTGGGCACCATTTCCCCTCTACTAAAGGAATATTTAGATAACCTTCTGTGCTGACAGCTGTGCACAGCCAGAACCCCACCAGTTGAAGCCTCCCTGTAATTATCGTCATTGACAGCATCCGGCCAGGTCCATCCCCAGACGGAGCAAAGTACCTTATCAGAGACACCTCTGTACTCTCTAAGAACAGACTTAAGTGTCCAGACTACCTGTTTGAGAAAGCCTGGCAGATATGCTAATTAAGCTTAACTTCCTCCTTTCCCAAATCTTACCTCTAGTTCCAGATCTCCCTTTAACTATCACCAGAGGCATCTACCTGTGCACAGGTTGCCTAGAGACCGAGCATACTTTCCCCCACCCTGCAGAAAGAATGGCAGATAGCTTGGACAGATAGGAGCCACAGGAAAAAAGAAGGCAGTTTTATTTTCTCCCATTGACCTAGCAACTTATAGATTCTTAACATTTTCTACCAATTATGTTTATGAGTATAGTGAGCACGTAAGATCCGTCTTCTTAGATATTACCCAAATTTAGCCCTTAGTTAATTCATTTCCCCATTAGTCACTTCCCTAATGATAATTAACAATTACTGCCCCTCTGTGTGATTCTTATCACCCCTCCACTTGACCCGGAAGCCTGGCTTTGCACTGCCAAGGGATTACTGCTTGTCAGTGTATATATACTGGGACTCCCAGGACAGTGCAGAGAAGAAGATTTGAAAGAATGAATGACCAGACTAAGAGCTCAGTGTTCTGAGACTCTATTTCCCGAAAATAGTCCTCGCCTTTCGTAGTTCTCTCTCCTGAGCCCCTGGGATGTATAATATTTAGGCTGGTCCCTCTAATAGCATACAAGACTTGCTCTTTGTAAAAAGGGTGCACCAGAACCCAAATCCGACTAGTAAGCTGACTGAGGCAAGAAGTTCCCCTGGTCGTTCTAATGCAAGTGGTGACTGTGTCTGTTTTCTATTGGCTGGGATCTGACCTCACAGTCTTTTGCAATTGTCTTGTTTTTAAAGGAATCAGTGCAAAGGAAATAAAAGGAGAATGGATCAGCCACTTCAGGCTGTCAAGATCCCAGAATGCAGCGGGGTCTTTGTATAAATAAGTTTTACCAGGTAGGAGAAATGAAAAGGTTTGCATAAAAGTTTTACAGGGTGGGTAAGATTGAAGATGAAGGAGAAACTCTCTCTCAAAAATAAAATAAAATAAAATAAAATAAGAGCCAGGCACAGTAGTGCAGGTCTTTAATCCCAGAATTTGGGAGGTAGAGGCAAATGGATCTTGAGTTTGAGGCTAGCCTGTTCTACACAGCAAACTCCTGGACAGCCTAGGCTACACAGTAGAGAGATCTTGTCTGGAAAAAAAAAAAAAGACAACAATAGTAATGATGGAGACTTAAAGAATATTATCCCTTGGCAGGCAAGCTTTTTTTTTTTTTTTTGGAGGCAAGGTCTCACTATGTAGTTCTGTAGTTCTGGTTGGCCTGGAATGTAGACCAGGCTGGCCTCAAACTCACAAAGATCTGCCAACAAGCTATCTTTGATAGAAAACAAACACTTCTCACACGTCATATATATGTAAATTTCTATTTGAATGTTGTGTGTTTTAGTCATCTCCCAATAATGATGTGTGAAAGGTTTTAGGTTCAAGGTTCAAGGGAGACACTGTGATGGATTAACCTTTAAGTAAAAGATTTATTAGAAATATTAATGCCATAAACAGGCACGTTACAGCCTGCAAGGGTCTCTGAGGAGCATTCAGGTCTACATGCCAGACAGAGTAGGGGGCCTTTCTTACAATTTGTAGAGGAAGAGGGTGGGAAGGAGATTAAGTTTCCTTTTTTGGTTGTGGTTGGCCATTGTTAAAGATAATTGGTGAGTGGTCAGTTCAAGAAGGACAGGTGACTGGCTCATTTCTCTCGTGGCCATACAGATTCCCAAGTAACTGACATAAAGAATCTAGAGAGGGCTGGAGAGATGGCTCAGAGGTTCAAGAGCACTGGCTGCTCTTCCAGAGGTCCTGAGTTCAATTCCCAGCAACCACATGGTGGCTCACAGCCATCCATAATCTGGTGCCCTCTTCTGGCATGTAGACAGAACATTGTATTCATAATAAATAAATAAATCTTAAAAAGAAGAATCTAGAGAAACAAATTATTTTACTTCTGGTAACCAAAGAGGGGGTCTCTACAGCCGTCAGACAGAGAAGCAAACCTTTTGAAGAGATGAGACTGATAAGTGACTTCATCAACATAGAGTAAGACTTCAAAAGTGTAATGCAGGTGGTTTATTCCCAAAAAATTTTAAACAGAGTACAATTTAGGGGAAAAAAGTTTTCTGGTATAATACAATCCCTGGTGCACACGTAAGTATAATTACATTGAAACTCAACTCCGGGTAAATGTCATTTCCTCCAAACAGATGGGTTTTAGCCAGGTGGTAGTATTGAATACCTTTAATCCCAGCACTTGGGAGACCAAGGAAAGTGAATCTCTGAGTTCAAGGCCAGCCTGCTGTACAGAGCTAGTTCCAGGACAGCTGGGGATACACAGAGAAACCCTGTCCAGGAAAAAAAGTTTTTAAAATTTAATGTGTATGGGTGTTTTCCCTGCATGTATGTCTGTGGACCACATGCATGGCTTCTGACCAAGAAGCCAGAAGGCTGTCAGAACTCGAGTTACAGATGATTGTGAGCCATTATATGGGTGCTGGGAAATGGACCCCAGGTCCTCTGGCAGAGCAGGCAGTGCAATTAATATGAGCCATCTGAGCTCACTTTCTTTGTTTATTTTGAGACAGGGTTTCTCTGTGTAGCCCTGGCTGTTTTGGAACTCACTCTGGAGACCAAGGCTGGCCTCAAACTCATAGAGAGCCCCCTGCCTCTGCCTCCCGAATGTTGGGAATCAAAGGCATGCACCATCACCACCTGAGCTCAGCTTTAGCATGCACACACATACATGCATGGGGGATGAAAAGGAACTTCTGAAATATGTTAGCTTTTCTTGGCTGTGGCAACATATCTGGAGTTGACAGAAGATTTGTTTATGTTTACAGTTCCAGTCCATGGAGGTTGCTTCACTGCTGTGGGACTGTGGTGAGGCAAAAACATCATTGGTAGCAGAACAGTAATGGACGGGGCTGCTCACTTCATGGCAGCCAGGGAGTAGAGAGACAGTAAGAATGGGGGAAGGCATAACTTCCCCCCACAGACTGACTTTCTCCAACCCAGCTCCACCTCCTAAGAGCCATCCAGATTACAGGTGGGAGCCACCCTGCCCAGTTTGGGAAAGTTGTTTTAATTTTTATTATGTGTATGGGTGTTTCGCCTACATGTATCTGTGTACCACATGCATTTCTGGTGCCCACGGGGGCGCCA